GTCCCCGAGTTTAGCCCAGAGAGGGCTCCAGTCCCCGAGTTAAGCCCAGAGATGGCTCCAGTCCCCGAGTTAAGCCCAGAGAGGGCTTCCGTCCCCGAGTTTAGCCCAGAGAGGGCTCCAGTCCCCGAGTTTAGCCCAGAGAAGGCTCCAGTCCCCAAATCCAGACCAGAGGCTCTGGCTCTGGTTCTCCAGAGCCCGCACCTCGAAAGCCCCCTTCAGAGCACGCTCCTCGAGAGCAACCTCCAGAGCCCGCTCCTTGAAAGGGCCCTCCAGAGCGCGCTCATGACCCTGTTCCAGCCAAGATGCCTGTAGTTCTCTCCATAGAGGCTGGGGCCACAGCCTTAGAAGGCCATGGCAGAGCAGCCTCCTAGTTCCCTAATCCGCCATGACCTCCTGAACGGTCTGCTTCGCCTTGGCCTCCTAGTCTGCCTGCTCCGCCATGGCTCCCCGAGCTGCCTGCTCCGCCATGGCACCCCGAACTGCCTGCTCTGCCATGGAGCCCCGAACAGGTACCCCCCCGGTTGTATGTTGTGTGGCGCGAGGACGCGCCTTCCGGGAGGGGGGAGTAATGTCAGACTGTGTGTTTTTTTTCCCCCATGTGCTCCATGTGTTGATTATGTCTTTATTTGGTCTTCCTGTTCCCTGATTAGATTAATTTGACATAATAAACATTGGAAACACCTGGGACATTGATTTCAGGTGTTCCTCATTGTGTCCCTCTAGTCCTGTGTATTTAATGGTTTGCTGTTTCGAGTTCCTCGTGAGGTATTGTGAATGTCATCTTTCCTGCTACGTGTGATTTCCTGGTTCATTGAATATTATTAATGTCTCTGTGTATGAATTCAACTCCTCGTCTCCTCATTCCTCGCTCCCTCACAGTAGCAGTGCGTGACAATACCGGACCATAAACAGTAAGCGGCGCCCCTACTCTTGTGTTTTTTATAGGGCTCCAGCTGTAGAGACTGGGGCTGCGGCCTTGGAGGCTGCTCTGCCATGGTCTCCTGAACCGTCTGCTCCGCCATGGCTTTCTGAGTTCCCTACTCCGCCTTGGCCTCCTAGTCTGCCTGATCCACCATGGTGCCCCGAACGGGTATAATTTAATAAATTATAATTGTATTAATTGTTAAATATTTTTCATAGGTTTGTACTCTGTTTGTGATATTACTGTTATACAGTATTTTAGAGTAAACAGTAAGGATGCAACAATACAGTTAATCCCACGGTCCAATAAATACTTGGTTTAACCACAGTTTTCGGTTTAGAATTTAAAAATAGCAAAAAAAGAACTATTAAAACTCCAGTACACTTCTGTATACTGTAGAAAAACATGGATTATCATATGTCTACTTCAAATTTCTTTTAAGAGAAGTATTATTTTGTACTATGAACACATGTAATATGTTTCATTCATACTGGGCGCCCTTGCGCTGAAAAGCCACATATGCATTACAAAAGAAATGCTCCAGGAAAACCCTAATAAGAGCTGCATCCCAATTCAAAGACCGTATCCTTCGAAGGATGCAGCTGACGCAGCCTTCGAAGGACGCTCCAAGTCTAGCCTTTGCAGGATTTCCTGATTACACCAGCAGGTGTTCCCGATTGCCGCTCTGCTACGCAGCAACAGTGCGAAAAGAGAGCTGCCATCCAAACACGGTATTCATTAATTAAACAGAAAACTATGGAGCCAGAAATGTTAATTGTACTCTTCATTGTTTTTACCTAACTGGGAAAATTGGTAGGGATGTTTCACCCCCGGCGGCCTCGGGTGATGCATCTCAGGCTTAGCAAAGATCATGGCCAGGTAAGTTAAAGTTGAAATTAGTTTTCAACTTACTTGAGTAATGTAATGATACATGAAAAAAAAATACAATATATATAGTTATTACATTGACTTGTATCTGACCAAAATGCGATTTTATGTAGTGTATTCTCTTATTATTATTACATATTATGTACATGGTGAACATATTTAGACTGGTTTTGAACTTTTTTTACTCTTCATACTTTAAGTACATTACAGTATACAAGATAATACTTTTACTTACTGTAACTACGGTTTTAAATGCATGACTACAAGTGTTTCCCAATGTGGTATTAGTAGTTACTGAAAGTACTGTACTAAAGTATCTCAATATTTCTTGTACCAATAACTCTGTCATAGCTCTAAACAATTTCTCTTTTCTTTCTTCCCCTAAATCAGACCCAGACCCCTGTACTGCAGGATAAAGCTGAATGTGCCAGTGCTGGACAGGTTTTTCAGTGACTCTGACACACGGCCTGATTTTCGGCTGAGCAGGGAGGCCCTGACAGTGCTCCTGGATCTGTTGAACAATGAACGACGACATGGATGGGGTCCCACAATCCAGACCCTGGTGTTTAGTCTCCGTCTGGTGTGTGGTACATCATACATAGTGGTCTCCAGAGTGTTTGACATGCCTCGTTCCACTGTCCACTGGATTGTCCACCGAGTCACTGAGGAGGTGCTGGCCATTCGCCACCAAATAATTCACCTCCCAAAGACCTGGAGGCAGTTTGCTGGCAGACGGAGGTTAATTAACACCTAGGATGCATCGGGGGCGAGTAAAACTAACCCTTTAAGCAGATATTCTTAACCATTCCTATCCAATCGTCAGTCTGCTACGAGCAATAGGTGGAGAGGAGGTACACTAAAGTAAAACCCTGCCCTTTTTTCAATATTCTGTTTCACTTGGAAATACATCACAACACTGAAGTCAGTTGTAACTTCCGGTTCATGGGGACTTTAATATTGGTATTATTCAAGATATTATATTAAAGTTAGAAATTCCCATATGACTACTAATTCATGTATTTTGTCAATAAGATAGAAGTGTTTTGTTGAAAGAAGCTATTTTCTAATCTATATAGATCTTTGATATGATTGAATAATAATTGATTTTTATCAAATATATATATATATTTGGCTCTTTGAGGGGTTTACAGTAGTCATGATTAAAAAAAAATTTTTTACCAGTACATTATCTCACTAAATCAGAAAATGCAGTGTAATATTCTTTATTTCATTCAGTTTGATCATTATTTATATTATCATTCAATTACACTGTGGCATTTCACAGCATGACAGAAGTTTAACTAATATTTTGAACTCAAGTTATCAATATATAAAAAGTAAAAGAAGATTAAGAAGAAATAAAAGAAGTGGTAAGAAGAAATAAAAGAAGTGGGTATGAAGGTGGACAATCAGATGTGGCCCACACTCCGCAGCAGTGAACGTTCACTCAGATTTACAGGTGAAGGAGTTCTCTCCAGTGTGAACTCTCATGTGAGTTTTAAGGTTTCCTTTTTGAGTGAAACTCTTTCCACACTGTTTACAGATAAAATGTCTCTCTCCAGAGTGAATCCTCATGTGGATTTCCAGGTTTTGTTTTTTAGGGAAATTCTTTCCACATTGTTTGCAGGTGAACAAGCTGTCTTCACTGTGAGTTCTCGTGTGGAAATTAAGGTTGCTTTTATATGCAAAACTCTGTCCACACTGAGAGCAAGTATAAGGCTTTTCTCCAGAGTGACTTCTCATGTGGACTGCAAGGTTTCCTTTTTGAGTGAAACTCTTTCCACACTGCTGGCAGTTGTAAGGCTTCTCTCCAGTGTGATATCGCATGTGAATTTTAAGGTTTTTATTGGTAGTGCAACACTTTCCACACTGTTTGCACGTGAAAGCGATGTCTCCAGTGTGAATTCTCATGTGGACCTTAAGGCTTCCTTTTCGCTTGAAACTCTTTCCACACTGATGGCAGGTAAAAAAGCTCTTCGATTCAATCTTCTGGACACTTTTTTGAGAGGAGCACTCCTTAGTTTTTCTCCTTAATTTTCTCCAATTTTGAAATCACGATCTTTCTCATTCTGCTCTTTCTCTTCCATATCCTTCAGCTCTTGACTCTCCTCAATCAGGTCTAAAGTGAAAAAACACAAATACAAAACCAGTTTAATGACACAAAGAAACAGACAACAAAACCAAGATAAGGCATCAAAATCTACTGTAATCTCAGAAACTCTTTGCTTTCAAACTTTCAACCTGGTAGTTATCAAATGCCTAGTGAAACAGAGCTTGACCAAAGGAGAGCTGCTTTATTTTCCAGCACAGTATTCATTTGGACAGCATGAGAATTGTATTGCCAATTTTGTGAACAAGCATTAGCACGGTTTAGGTCTTATCTATCCAACTGCTACCACAGGAGGCATTTCATCAAACACAAGTACAGAACGATGTTTTGTGTAAATCGTACGTAAAGCCGTTCCAACATAAACTTTAGAATTCATGAAAATTTTCACATTTTCAAAATGTTAGTGGGTACAAAAGAAATGTACCACCTGCTCCCTACCACACATAAATGGTGCGTAAAACATGGCGTGTTCTTTTCGGCAAACTGATAAGACTGAATTTTGATGCGTTAATATAACAAGTTTGTTTGCCCTGTACAACTTTGGGTAAAACGCAGTGCTCGTCACTGTCACTTTTTTATTTTAATACTAATACTATACTGCACAAATACTACACCAACCAACCATCCTACTTGTACAACACCCCAACAACAATGGGGAAGTTATTGCTGGTTACTTAATGTTTATATTCAGTAATATTCTTCAAAATATATAAAGTAGTAAAGCACTAAATCCACCAAAAAAACACACCAAAGTGTTCTCAAGCGCCACCAGCTGGCCGTTTTTAGAAGAGCACCTGGCATTTTTTTCAGCTGGCTACAAACATTTTGGTGGACATACATTAATTGAATATTTATTGTTATGCATATGGCCTTTTAATCTTTTTTTATTATTATTTATTTATGCAATATACTGGAGTCAAACCTGAGAAGGGAACCCAAAATATTTCACTGCGTTCCTGGACACGTAATTCACTTAGCTGTAATTCATAGGTGGGGATTATGCTAATTGTGAATGAGTGTGCATGCATGCCCTATTTACAAATGAATAGAATTCAAACACATTTAACTACGAAATCTGACGTTTACAAAACCTTTGTGAATCCGGAGGAGAGTTGTCGGGAAGGTCTGATTTACATGCAAATTACTCTGAATTTTCTCATATATTTACACAAGTTTCATGAGGCCCATTGTTCTAAACGTGAAGTTTAATCTATGGCAACAAACCTCATGCCAGAGAGGGGCATGCCTTACACTGGCCACCTCTGACAGCATCAGTCAATTAAAGTGCTGTATACTTAAGGCGCCAATTTGCAGATCCCTTCTCCTCAAGATTAAAAAATAAATAAATTATGCTAAGCCAAGTTGTTGCTCCAAAATTCCAAGCTACTCTGGCCCTTGAGGTCCACTTTCCTGCAGAGTTTAGATCCAACCCTAATCAAACACACCTGAACAAGCTAATCAAGGTCTTCAGGATCACTAGAAAGATACTGGGGCAGGCTAAACATTTGTATATGTGACTCTGGACCACAAAACCAGTCATAAGGGTCAATGAAATTAAGATTTATACATCAATGGAAAGCTTATTTATTCAGCTTTATTCAGTAATATGCATTCCTAAGTTTTGATATAGTGGTTTTTCTCCAGAGTGACTTCTCATGTGGACTGCAAGGTTTCCTTTTTGAGTGAAACTCTTTCCACACTGCTGGCAGTTGTAAGGCTTCTCTCCAGTGTGATATCGCATGTGAATTTTAAGGTTTTTATTGGTAGTGCAACACTTTCCACACTGTTTGCACGTGAAAGCGATGTCTCCAGTGTGAATTCTCATGTGGACCTTAAGGCTTCCTTTTCGATTGAAACTCTTTCCACACTGATGGCAGGTAAAAAAGCTCTTCGATTCAATCTTCTGGACACTTTTTTGAGAGGAGCACTCCTTAGTTTTTCTCCTTAATTTTCTCCAATTTTGAAATCACGATCTTTCTCATTCTGCTCTTTCTCTTCCATATCCTTCAGCTCTTGACTCTCCTCAATCAGGTCTAAAGTGAAAGAGCGCGATTTAGTCAGTGTGGCTTTTTCTCCAATTTTGAAATCACAATCTTTCTCATTCTGCTCTTTCTCTTCTATATCCTTCAGCTCTTGACTCTCCTCAATCAGGTCTAAAGTGAAAAAACACAAATACAAAACCAGTTTAATGACACAAAGAAACAGACAACAAAACCAAGATAAGGCATCAAAATCTACTGTAATCTCAGAAACTCTTTGCTTTCAAACTTTCAACCTGGTAGTTATCAAATGCCTAGTGAAACAGAGCTTGACCAAAGGAGAGCTGCTTTATTTTCCAGCACAGTATTCATTTGGACAGCATGAGAATTGTATTGCCAATTTTGTGAACAAGCATTAGCACGGTTTAGGTCTTATCTATCCAACTGCTACCACAGGAGGCATTTCATCAAACACAAGTACAGAACGATGTTTTGTGAAAGTGTTGGCTGGTGTCACTATCTCGCGAACGCGCAGGCGGATCTCCACTAAATTTGGGGGATCCCTTCAGCTCGAGGAGCCCTCTCGAACACCACCCTCCGCGCACCGGTAGCCCCCCGGGATCGCTAGATCGGTCGGCGCTGGACCGCGAATTTAGCCACCCGCAACTCCTGAACCCCTGGGGCTATCGTTCGAAAGAGGGCCTTGAGACCTACATTCGATTCGCGTTCGAGAGGGTTCCTCGAGCTGAAGGGATCCCCCCCCGTTCTAAGTTTCAATGTTCTTCCATAGACTTAAGCTTTAAAGCATTTCATCCAGGTCGCCAGTAGCAAACAATGGAGCGTGCTCTGCTGGACAAACTAAGTAATTACACCATTTCAAGCATTTTATCTGTGTTATATGCTCTGTAAAAAAAAAAATTCATATCGGCGACAGGCTCATATCGGCCGACAATATCGGCTAAACGATATATCGGTCGGGCTCTAGTTTCCACACAGACTTACACTCTGTGGCAGCACATCCCCCGGGGGAAATATATATTTACGCAAATGTATTCTCTGCCAGCAGGAGGTGCTTTTGGAGCGGGAGAGATAGTTTTCTCTTCGGTAACGGCTGTACACAAAGCAGAGCTCCACTCACAAACGCTGCTTTATCAGGCTTTACAGGCAAGATTAAATGAAAATGACATCTAAAATTTTCTGAAGACAGTTTCCTTCAGTTTTGATATTGTGGCAGGCCACAAATAAATCAATATATGGGAAACACTGGTATTTGTCTAGTGATGATATCTCAATATGTCTGCACACGTGAGTCTCCATGTCAAATAAAACCATTTAAATGATGAAACTTACATGACGTTCTTCAAAAATATCATTCATTTCTGTAGAGCCTGACATTTTAATAAGGATCCAATGAGAATGAAAACTCACCTGTTTGTTCCTCAGTATCTTCTTGTTTCACTCTGAATACTTCTTCAATCTTCACGTCTTCAATCTTCCAGTCTTCACTCTCCTCTTTAATAAATGCCATCTTTATAATGGTGTGAATGGAAAAAAAATCTCAAATCAAATCAGCTCCCTAGTTCAGCAGTCAGCGCACTGCTAAGAGAATCAGTCAGAGTGAGATTAAATACCTTAAAATGAGCTGTTTATAAAAAAAAAAACAGACTTCATATGCATTCGTTTAGGTACCGAATGATCTATAGATTACATTTAATAGATTACGGTTTAATGACTTTATTTGCAGTTGGTTTGTAAAAGTTAATTGTTGTTCTTGTTGCATTAACAGTTTTTAGCAGAAGAGGAGATTAAAGGGGTTTAAAGTCCAAAACTATAACCTAACAAATCAGTCGGGGCTAAAAAAAAAAAGAAAAAAAAAAGTGTATTTTAATGATAGCATTAATTTCAAAATCAAATGTAAGCTAGCTAATACTAGCTCAAATGAGTTAATGTGTATTCCTCTTACCAGTTATAATGTAGTCTGTTTTTTATTATTTATTAAATTTTTAATTGCGTGATTTTAACTTTTAATTTAGTGCTTTAAAGAGTAATTTTAGATTGTAACAATGTCATTAAATCTTGGGCACAATATTCATTAAATACACTCAGTAGTATCCTATATTTTTTATTTATTTGATTTATTAAGTTGCATTTTCTGCATACTTTTATTTTTGGACTGACAATAAAAAGTCAAATAATTGTATGCGATAGAGTCAGCGGTAATATCAATGTGTTTCCCGTACAACTAAGTAACTCGCCGATTATCCATCATTGAACGATGCATTGCTGTGGAAACGAATTAGCTAGTCACGACTGTTTCCTGAACACAGTCGTATGTCCGTCGTTTGAACCACATTAGTTTAACAACATAGGGCCATTTTGTTAATGACGTCACACGCATGTGGTAGAGTAATAATAACTTGTGCTATTTAACTGATTAGAGATCTCTAAGATGCTGCTGTATTGAACATGGCACCCGATGACTAATTTAGTATTTTTAGTTCTCTGTCATTCGGATTTCCTCTTACGTCATACTCCGGGGTTCCCGTATGTATTTATGCACATGCGCACTCTTCAAAAGCAGCACTTATTGAGGATGCGCAAAAAATACATAGATTAAAATGCATTTATATTTCCATAGAATGGAAGATATAGATTGTAATGCATGTTAGCTTGCTTATTGTGTCCAAGAGCATAATTAATTTAACCCATATGTCTTACTAACAAGAAACATTGCTTCCAACCACAGGTCGTGAGCTGTAGTTCCTACCACGCAAGTTTGCGACACTGTTTGCGAATTATAGTTTCGGGAAACACTGAATCGTTGAACCATGTTGTAAACGACAGAACTTGTGACCATA